GGCTCTGATAACGTGCTAGGCAACATTTCATAATTAGCAGCATTATTTATTGGATGTGCAGAATCAGTTTCCTGCTACAAAGAGGTAGCAAAGGAGGTAATTGGTTAATTGGACATCTGCACTGTCCTTCCTGGGGTATGGAAGTTTGAGAGACTTCTCTGACCAGTTACATCCTTGAAGATTTGAGGGTAAATTTGGAAAAAGGCAGATGTTGAATATCTTGTTAATCTATTCTGTGGAGTCTCCAGATAATTTTCATTTTATACAAAAAAGTTTTCTATATGGCCGGGCGCAGTGACTCAAGCCTGTAATCCCAGCACTTTGGGAGGCCGAGACGGGCGGATCACGAGGTCAGGAGATCGAGACCATCCTGGCTAACACGATGAAACCCCGTCTCTACTAAAAAATACAAAAAACTAGCCAGGCATGGTGGCGGGCGCCTGTAGTCCCAGCTACTCGGGAGGCTGAGGCAGGAGAATGGCGTGAACCCGGGAGGCGGAGCTTGCAGTGAGCTGAGATCCGGCCACTGCACTCCAGCCTGGGCGACAGCGAGAGACTCTGTCTCAAAAAAAAGAAAAAGAAAAGTTTTCAAGGATATGTATTTATCATCGTATCACAATATTTGGTAATAGGTCATACCAGATACATTGGAAAGAACCTATATCCATCCACAGGGGAATTAGTTTTTGTTGCTGTTGTTGTTGTTTGTTTGTTATTTTTGAGACAGAGTATCGCTCTCTCACCCAGGGTGGAATGCAGTGGCACGATCTTCACCGCAATCTCCGCCTCCCGGGTACCGGTTCAAGCAATTCTCCTGCCTTAGCCTCCCGAGTAGCTAGGATTACAGGTGCCCACCACCACGCCTGGCTAGTTTTTGTATTTTTAGTGAGACGGGGTTTTACCATGCTGGCCAGGCTGGTCTCGAACTCCTGACCTCAAGTGATCCACCCGCCTCAGCCTCCCAAAGTGCTGGAATTTCAGGCGTGAGCTACTGCGCCCCCCCTTGTTTGTTTTTGAGATGGAGTCTCACTCTGTCGCCCAGGCTGGAGTGCAGTGGCGTGATCTCAGCTCACTGCAACCTCCGACTCCCGGGTTCAAGCAATTCTCCTGCCTCAGCCTCTTGAGGAGCTGGGATTGCTGGTGCCCACCACCACGTCTGGCTAATTTTTTTGTATTTTTAGTAGAGATGGGGTTTTACCATGTTGGCCAGGCTGGTCTCAAACTCCTGAGCTCAAGTGATACACCTGCCTTGGCCTCCCAGAGTGCTGGGATTACAGGTCTGGGCCACTGAATCAGGCCGCGAATTAGTTTTTTAAAAAGTGGTATATCCAGCCGGGTGCAGTGGCCCACGACGGTAATCCCAACACTCTGGGAGGCCAAGGCAGGTGGATCACTTGAGCTCAGGAGTTTGAGACCAGCCTGGCCAACATGGTGAAACCCCATCTCTACTAAAAATACAAAAAAAATTAGCTCGGTGTAGTGGTGGGCACCTGCAATCCCAGCTACTCGGGAGGCTGAGGCAGAAGAATCGCTTTGACTCGGGAGGCGGAAGTTGCAGTGATCCGAGATCACGCCACTGCACTCCAGCCTGGGCGACAGAGTGACACTCCATCTCAAAAAAAAAAAAACAAAAGAAGAAAAGTGGTATATCAATTCACTGGAATACTGTGCACCTATCACAAAGAATAATATAGAACTATATTGATGGAAGTGGAGGAATCTCCAAGAGTTATATTTGAGTATATATGCGTGTGTATGTATATATATATATGTAATTACATATATATACTAATGTGTATTATTTGTATAAAAATTATTTGGTTATATATCCTTATGAGATATAGAGGTTTAGTGGTAAGGTTACCCAAATTTGATGGCGCTTGCCTGTGAGTGGTGAGATTTTAGATAATTTTTGTCTTTCTGATACCTTTATGTGTTATTTAAGTTGTTTACAAATTTTCAATTATTAACATGTTTTATCTTTATGGAATACTTAAAAAAAAACTGACCAGATAAGTTACAAGGAGCAATATTATAATTATTAGGAACTTACTATATGCTAGACATTCTGTTGTTTTATATGCATTGTCTGATTTTAATTCCCACAACCCTATGAGATTATTAACCTGTTTTGTAATATTGAGCAAACTAAGGCTTCAAGTGTTTAAGTAAATTGCCTATAATCACAGGGTTAGTAAATGGTGGGCAGGATTAAAGGCCAGGTTTCCCAGCTGCAGTGCTACTAGGGTCCCTCGGGCCTGACCTATAGGTAAACGGGGTTGCTCTTTGGAGCTAACAGAAAGTTACCAGTATCTTAAATAGAATCACTTCAACCCCACCAGTCCTATCTCTGAGGCCATCTTTTCTTTCACCTTTCCAGTAGCACACACTAAATAAAATGCTATAAGTAGTATCAAAGCCACTACCAACTAAAGATGGAAAACTTTCTGTAGTAATATGTTACATTGATTGCCGAAATGAATCATGCCTTCTAATATTGGAAGGTATCCTGGCATAGTCCCCTCCCCTTGAATGGCCGGGGGCTGGCCCTTTTACTTGCTTTAACCAAGAGTATGGCCAAGGTGGTAGTTCTGCACCTAAGCTTTAAGAAGGCCTGGCAGCTTCCACTTTTGCCCTTTTGGGAGCCCTGAGCCAACATGTAAGAAGTATTCTGACCGGGCGCAGTGGCTCATGCCTGCAATCCCAGTACTTTGGGAGGCTGAGGTGGGTGAATCACCTCAGGTCAGGAGTTTGAGACCAGCCTGGCCAACATGATGAAACCCTGTCTCTACTAAAAATACAAAAAATTAGCTGGGCATGGTGGCGGGCGCCTGTAATCCCAGCTACTCAGGAGGCTGAGGCAGGAAAATCGCTTGAACCCAGGAGGTAGAGGTCGCAGTGAGCCAAGATGGCACCATTGCACTCTAGCCTGGGCAATAAGAGTGAAACTCCATCTCCGGGGTGGGGGGTGGGGAAAAAATCTTCCTACTCTGCTAGACAAATTATGTGGAAAGGCTATATGGGCAGGGAAATAACTTGGACTATAGGGAGAGAGACCCAGTTCTAGCAGAACCAGCCCCCACTTGATGCTATGACCACTGGCAAGACCAGCAGAATGGCTGGCCTAACCACAGCCCAGATTGCAGAACTGTGGGCAAATAAAATGGTTGTTGTTTTAAGTCTTACGTTTTGGGGCGGTTTGTTACACAATAGATTATGAAAACACCTCCTCAGCTTTCCTTGGGTGACTGCTGGTACACTCACTTGTGCATAAGGCTGAAGTCTCCATTCCTTAATCCTTACTATCTCCCAATTTTATCGCAATAGTTTGCCAGAAGCGTTCACATTAACGATGAGGACGTAGGCAGGCCTTTTTTTTTTTTTTTAAATGGAAAGAGGTACTAGGTCCAGAGGCTGACTTTAGCCCTCACTTTGTTACTACTTGTATGCCTTTTGAAAGTCACTAACCTTTCTATCTCAGCCGCAAATTGGGGGAGATTTATATTCACTCCACTTACAAGAAGGTAAAATCGGCCGGGCGCGGTGGCTCAAGCCTGTAATCCCAGCACTTTGGGAGGCTGAGACGGGTGGATCACAAGGTCAGGAGATCGAGACCATCCTGGCTAACCCGGTGAATCCCCGTCTCTACTAAAAAATACAAAAAACTAGCCGGGCGAGGTGGCGGGCGCCTGTAGTCCCAGCTACTCGGGAGGCTGAGGCAGGAGAATGGCGTGAACCCGGGAGACGGAGCTTGCAGTGAGCTGAGATCCGGCCACTGCACTCCAGCCTGGGTGACAGAGCGAGACTCCGTCTCAAAAAAAAAAAAAAAAAAAAGGTAAAATCAGTAGAAATGAGTTTAAAAGAAATTGAAATGCATTAACAGAGCTTCCGGCTTAGGGCAGGCAGACTTGATGTCATCCAATTTTTTTATTTTTATTATTTATTATTTATTTATTTATTTTTTGAGACTGTGTCTTGCTCTGTCTGCCAGGCTGGAGTGCAGTGGTGGGAACTCGGCTCACTGCAGCCTCGACATCCCGGGCTCAAGTGATCCTCCCACTTCAGCCTCCCACCTCAGTCCCCCACGTAGCTGGACTTCTGGCGCACCACCACCACACCTGGCTAATTTTTGTATTTTTTTGTATTGACGGGTTTTTGCCATGATGCCCAGACTGGTCTTGAACTCCTGGGCTCAAGAGATCCGCCCACCTTGGCCTTCTAAACTGTTGGGATTACAGATGTGAGCCACGGCATCCGGCCTCTGAGTGTAAGATCTTGAACAAACCACTTAATAGCTCTGATCCAGCTGGGCACGTGGCTCACACCTGTAATCTCAGCACTTTGGGAGGCCGAGGCAGGCGGATCACCTGAGGTCAGGAGTTCGAGGCCAGCCTGGCCAATATGAAGAAACCCCATCTATACTAAAAATACAAAAATTAGCCGGGCGTGGTGGCGGGTTCCTATAATCCCAGCTACTTGGGAGGCTGAGGCAGGAGAATCGCTTGAACCCGGGAGGCGGAGGCTGCAGCGAGTCAAGATCGCGCCACTGCACTCCAGCCTGTGCAACAGAGCGAGACTCCATCAAAAAACAAACAAACAAACAAAAACCTCTGATCCTCAGTTCTTTAGCTGTAAATGAGGGTACTCTTCCCCACCCCAATGAATCTCTCATGATTCAGTGAGTGAGATATCGCCTGAGGACACACCTGTTGCACAAAAAGCGCTCACCGCACGCCATGACGCCCAAGTCTCATACCCTTATCTTCATAACCTGTCCAATCCCAGTGGGTGTGAGAGGTAAGTCTGCAGCACGGCCCGGAAAACTTGTTTCTTTTTCTTTTAAGTGCTTTCCCGCGAATTCGAGCGCAGGTCCTCCTCCTGCCATACTGCAAAGGACTCCGCTTGCCACCACGCCCCCGCCTTCTGTCAGGAGCAGCCAACTCCAGGTCTCGCGACGGTTTCTTCTTTCTTCAGGATCAGCCACAGGTCGCGCGAGAGGGATTTGTCCAATCAGGAGGCTAGATGGCTTCACAAGATGGCGGCGCGCTGGGAGCGTATCCTCTGCGTTTCTAGGAGTTTTGCTCTGCGGCTTCTTTAAGATTCTAGGGTTGTACAGGCCCACGCCAGACACGACGTCTGGCAGGAACCTCGGCCTCAGAGGTGGGTCACTTATATTTCTCACGCAGATCTACTATCATGGGTCACTTAACCTGTGGATCACCCGGGTTCCTCATTCTTGAGTTTTGGGCTAGTGAGGTGCCGACTTCGGGGTCTACGAGGGGGAGACCTGATGTGGCTGCGTGTGCGCACGCGGGGGTGTTTGAGAGTGGATGAGTGGGAGGAGTTGGCGAATAGAATAGAGACTAGGATCGAAGTAGGAAAGACTCCCCGGGGTTTAGGAGGTTTAGAGAAATCCAAAACTGAGGCGGCAAGACAAACTGAGCGGATGAGATGAGGGCGTGGAAAGAGTGGAAGAGATGGAGAAGTGGCAGTGGCAGGACTAGTGGGAAAAGTCGAATTTATGAGAGAAGGCGAAGAGAGAAGATGTAGGTTGGTGTTGAGGTGGGAAGGATCTGTGCAGAAAGAATATTAAGTTTTGAAATTGGAATTTAGGCTATTTTACAGGCCATGTATTAAGAGAATGGTAGTTGAAGAGGGTTAATGGTCAAGAGGAACCAAGGAAACAAGCATGGAGATGAGAAAGAAGAAAAAAAAGTGAAAGCCTCATTCTCAGGGTTCTACTATTAACTGTAGCTTTCTGGACTGACTCAAGTAACCAGGAAGAAAAGTTTCAGTCCTTGGAGTGAGCTTTTTTTGAAACTCAATGAGGGAGCTTTGTGTCAGTGGTCCGGACGTCGTGCTTTCAATCAACAAATACGTGAGTGCCTACTCTCTCAGGCACTATTTTAGGCGTTGGGATATGCAATGAACAAGACAGACAAAATATTTTCGCTCTTGAACCTTACTGACGGGAGATTTTTTTAAAGTAAAATATATGGAATGTCAGATGGGTAAATTCTGTGTCGAAAATTGAAGCTGGAGCCTGGGTGGCAAGGCCAGACTCCCTTTCTACAAAAAATGAAGTAAATTAACCAGGTACAGTGGCCTGTGCCTATAGTCCCAGGTACTTGGGAGGCTCAGGCGGGAGGATTGCTTGATCTCAGAAGTTGGAGGCTGCAGGGAGCTATGATTCCACTATTGCATTCTGAGCAACAGAATGAGACCCTGTCTCAACAAGAAGGAAAAAAAAAAAGTTGATGCCCAGTTAAACTCTGAAGAATAGAATATATTTAGCTAAGAACTCATTGCCCATATTGGGAGGTTAGTTAGAAAAGAGGTGGTTGTATTGACTCATTCTGTATCTGTTCTGACCAGAAAAGTTGAATAATGTAGGAAATGAATTGAATCTGCCGTATCTATAATTTAATTTGTTTCACATATATTCAGAGTATCGTGTTGTGTGTGCACTGTGTCAGCTATGTAGTCTGTAGAATTTTCCTTAATGTGTTACAGAGCCCTCACATGCCACTGCCTCTTTAGTCACTGTTAGGGTATGGTGACTATAGTCAGCAACAATGTGTATTTCAAAATAGGTAAAGAGAGGGCTTGAAATGTTACCAACACATAGATATAAAAAATACTTAAAGTGATGAATACTCCACATACCCTGACTGGATCATCACACATTCTATGCGTGTAACAAATACCCCATAAAGGTCACATGTCCCCCATAAATAGGGAAAATATTTTCTATCAGCTTAAAGAAATTACTCTTAGTTTTCTTTTTTGTTGCTTGCCAGAATCACAAGAAAGGACATTTTCTCTTTTTTCTTTTTCTTTTTTTTCTTTTTTGAGGCAGAGTCTCACTGTCACCAAGGCTCGAGTGCAGTATTATGATCTCGGCTCTCTGCAACCTCCACCTCCCGGGTTCAAGTGATTCTCCTGCCTCAGCCTCCTGAGTAGCTGGGATTAGAGGCATGCACCACCATGCCTAGCTAATTTTTTTTTTTTTTTTTTTTTTTTTTTTTTTTTTTTTTTTTAAAGACGGAGTCTTGGTCTGTCGCCAGGCTGGAGTGCAGTGGTGTGATCTTGGCTCACTGCAACCTCCGCCTCCCAGATTCAAGTGATTCTCCTGCCTCAGCTTCCCGAGTTGCTGGTACTTCAGGCAGGTGCCACCACACCTAGCTAATTTTTGTGTTTTAGTAGAGACAGGGTTTCACTATGTTGACCAGGCTGGTCTCCACGTTGGCCAGGCTGGTCTCACAAACTCCTGAGGTGATCCTCCTGTCTTGGCCTCTGAAAGTGTTGGGATTATAGGCATGAGCCACCGTGCCCAGCCAACACTTTCATTTTTGATACTTTCTTTTTAATAAAGTCTATTATTTGTATTTGTTTATTTTGAGACAGGATCTCATTGTGTTGCCCAGGCTGGACTGGAACTGCTGGATTCAAGCCATCCTCAGCTTCCGTAGTAGCTAGGACCACGGGCACGCACCACCTTGCCCAGTTGATGTTTTCTTAAGGACTGGGGGCCATCCTCGTTTTATGCTCCTCTCTTTCCTGATGGTCAGTAAAAGATATGTCAATGCTAGGAAATTAAAACAGGTATATAGTCAGTTTTAGTCATAGTGTAAGGGGCAAAATGTAACGGTATGCTGAAAAACTTTCAAGTGACTACTAATCCCCTCAAATTCTGAATTGTTTACTTAACAAATATTTATTGTATAGAAGTTGCTGGGGGTATAGTGAAGATTAGGATGGATATGGTTGCAGATCTGTGTGTGACATATGCAAATTAATTACACACCCAGTAGTAAACTGAGGATCTCTGAGGGAGAAGCAGCACAGGGTGCTTTGAAAGCATGTAGATGGGCATCCGATTGGATTGTGGGGTCAGAGAAAGCCTGCCTGAGTAGAATGATGCTTAGGTTGTGATGCGAGGAGCTGGTGGGCCTTCAGAGGTGAAAGGCGATGGTGGCAGGGTGAGGAGAGTCTTGCAGGCAGTAAGAATAGGAGATGGTGAGACAATCCTCCTACCTCAGTCTCCTGAGTAACTAAAACAAAAACAAACACACATACGCACAAAAACAAAAAACAAAAACCACTGATCATAGATCACTACAACAAAGTTGGAAATATTGTGAGAATTACCGAAGTGTGACATAGAGACATAAAGTGAGCATGTGTTATTGGAAAAATGGTGCCAACAGACTTGCTAGATGTAAGATTGCCACAAACATTTGATCTGCTAAAAATACAATGTATATCCCATATACCCCCTAAATATATATACCTACCATGTACCCATAAACTAGTAAATCTTGACCGGGCACAGTGGCTCATGCCTATAATCCCAGCACTTTGGGAGGCCAAGGTGGGTGGATCACTTGAGGCCAGGAGTACAAGACCAGCCTGGCCAACATGGTGAAACAGACTACCATGCAGCAGAGAAAGTGGAAGAAGACCAGTGTGTCTCGAAGGGGAAAGTGGCTGGGAGCGTATCCTCTGCGTTTCTAGGAGTTTCGCTCTGCGGCTTCTTTAAGATTCTAGGGGAAAGTGGCAACAAATGAAGTTGGAGGGACAGATAAGGCCTGGATTATGCCTCCCTTGTTAATGATTTCAGACTTTATTAGCCTAAGAGCTTTGGGACGCCACTGAAGGGATTTAATAAGGAAATGTTCACATTTGCATGGGGGGAGTGGCTTGTCTGCTGAATGAAAAATGGCTGGTAGAGGGCAAGACTGGTTATGAAGAGATCAGTTTGAGACTCTTAGAGCAACCCAAGAAAGACATGATAATGATCTGGGCCAGAGAGGTGGTGTTGTGAAGGGTGAAGAACGGGATAAGGTCAATAAATAATTGGGAGATAGGGAGTATTCAGGACATGGTGTGTTGTGAATGGGAGAGGCAGCATGGAGAAGGTGTTGAAGATTTTTGATGTGTGTATCACAAGAAAGATAGCAGTGCATTCGGTGAGGCAGGGAAGATGAGGAGGACCAGTTTGGGGTGGGTAGAAGTGATTTAATTTTGCGCATATTGTACATGTATTTTTGAGCCCTTCAAGTGAGAAATATGGTAGGCAGTTGGATATGTGATTTGGAAAAGTCTGGATTGAAGACAACGCTTCTTTTTTGAAATTGGTTTAATTTCCAGTGTAGGAAGCTGTCAAAAAGCCATCTGAAATAGCATTGACAGATTTATGACTATGTAACAAAGATTGCAAAGGAAAAATATTTATTGCTAGGAGATGTTATAATAGAGGATTTGTCTTAACTGGGGAGATTAGGGAAGGAAAGATCTTTTCTTTTCTTTTTTTTTTTTTTGAGACAGAGTCTCGCTCTGTCGCCCAGGCTGGAGTGCAGTGGCGTGATCTTGGCTCACTGCAAGCTCCGCCTCCCGGGTTCACGCCATTCTCCTGCCTCAGCCTCCCGAGTAGCTGGGACTACAGGCGCCCGCCACCTCGCCCGGCTAGTTTTTTTGTATTTTTTAGTAGAGACGGGGTTTCACTGTGTCAGCCAGGATGGTCTCGATCTCCTGACCTCGTGATCCGCCCGTCTCGGCCTCCCAAAGTGCTGGGATTACAGGCTTGAGCCACCGCGCCCAGCCGGAAAGATCTTTTCAGAAGAAATGCTTGAACTGTGAGCCCAAGGATGACTAAGAATTCGCCAACTGAAGAGAGGGAGAGAAGAACATTACAGATAAAAAGAATAGCCTGCTTAGGAGGCTGAGGCAGGAGAATCACTTGAACCCGTGAGGCAGAGGCGGCAGTGAGCCAAGACCGCGCCACTGCACTCCACCCTGGCAACGGAGCGAGACTCCATCTCAAAAAAAAAAAAACAAAAAAAAAACCCAAAAAGAATAGCCTGCATAAAGGCCGTGTGGTCAGGGTGGAAGGACACAAAGAGCAAGGGCTTGTGACTTAAACTGAGTGGTGAAAAGATAGGCAAGGCCAGGTCGTGTAGGGCCTTGTATGTAGGCTGAAGTGATGTTTTTTATTTTATCTTAAGAGTAAGGTTTTGAGCAGGTGGACATAGGGGAAGGACATACTGAGATTTGTGTTTAGAAATGATCACTGCGCGGTGGAAGGAGGGATAGTGAGAACAAGAGTGGATATGGGGAGACCAATTAAGAGGCTACTGTAAACCAGGTGCAGTGGGGCACACCTGTAGTCTCAGCCATTTGGGAGGCTGAGGTGGGAGGATTGCTTGAGCCCAGGAGTTCAAGTCTGGCCTGGGCAATGTAGTCTCCAAAATAAAATAAAGATAAATAAATAAAAAGGCTGTTCTGGCCGGTGTGGTGGTTTACAACTATAATCCTAGCACTTTGGGAGGCTGAGGCGGCAGGATTGCTTGAGGCCAGGAGTTCAAGACCAACCTGGCCAATATGATGAAACCATGTATCAAAAAAAAAAAAAAAAAAAAGGCCTCTGGGCTTAACATTGTTGGGGACAGGGAAAAATAGATTAATTTAAGAGGTATGTAGCAGGTAAAACCTACAGGAGTGGTGATTTCTTGGATATGAGAAACTATCAGGTGACTCCTAGATTTTTGGCTTACATAATACTGTTTAGAAGAATGATCATTATTTAAAAAATAGAAAATAAAGATATTAAGAAAATAAAAGTCACTTCCACCCAGAGAGCTATACATATATAATAGTTAACTATTTTTAAAATTACCAACTACCTGGAGATTTACTAAGCCATTATAATAGTTTCTCTTTCTGTTTTTATTTCTTGCTATATGTACATTTGCTTTTATTTCTTGTTGTAATCTGGAAGAAGACAAAATTATATTTGTTTTCATTTGGTTTTAGCTACCTAGGAATGACAAGATTAAAACTTTAAGTTGGAATCAAAGATATTTTTTCAAACTTTGGTGACATTGTGGTGCGTTACCAAATATTCAGTCCTTGTAAGGACACTGTAAAAGCTAACCTCCAGGCTGGGTGTGGTGGCTTATGTCTGTAGCTGTAGCACTTTGGGAGGCTGAGGCAGGAGGATCATTTGAACTCAGGAGTTGGAGACCAATCTGGGCAACAAAGGGAGACCCGATCTCTACAAATAATAAAATTAAAAATAAATTAGCCAGGCATGGTGGCATGTACCTACAGTGCCAGCTCCTCAGGAGGCTGAGATAGGAGGACTCTGAGCACCGGAGGGCGAGGCTGCAGTGAGGTGTGATTGTGCCACTGCACTCCATCCTGGGCAACAGAGTGAGAGCCTGTCTCAAAACAAGCAAAACAAAACAAAACTAACCTCTAACTTATATCCTTGGCTATGGATCATATAGACAGACTGTGTTCTGTCACTTTGATGCTTTTCTTTTTTTTTTGAGACCGAGTCTCCCTCTGTCGCCCAGGCTGGAGTGCAGTGGCGCGATCTCGGCTCATTGCAACCTCCGCCTTCCGGGTTCACGCCATTCTCCTGCCTCAGCCTTCTGAGTAGCTGGGAGTACAGGTGTCCACTACCACGGCCGGCTAATTTTTTGTATTTTTAGTAGAGATGGGGTTTCACTGTGTTAGCCAGAATGGTCTCGATCTCCTGACTTCGTGATTCGCCTTCCTCAGCCTCCCAAAGTGCTGGGATTACAGGTGTGGGCCACCGTGCCCGGCCTGATGCTCTTAAAGGAATAATTTTCAGCTTTCTTCCCTTGATTAAAAAAAAAAAAAATTCACTCTTACGTTGTCTACATTTTTAAAATTATGGAAAAATAAACATAAATATACCATTTTGGCCATTTTTAAGTGTACCATTCAGTGACATTAAATGTATTAATTCTCTTGTGCAACCATCACCTCTATCTCCAGAACTTTGTCATCATTCCAAAGTGAAACTCTGTACCTATTAAACAGTAACTCATTCTTCCCTCCCCCAGCCCCTCATCACCTCTATTCCACTCTCCGTCTGTGTGATAAGTTTACCTCTTCTGGGTGCCTCATATAAGTGGAAGCATACAATATTTGTCCTTTTGTGTGTGGTTTATTTCCCTTAGCATCATGTTTTCGAGGTTCTTCCATGTTGTAGCGTGTATCAGAATTTCATTCCTTCTTAGGGCTGTGTGATATTTATTGTATGGCTATACCGTATTTTGTTGATCCATATTGATTGTATGGATATTCCATATTTTGTTGATCCATATTTAGTGTTTGGATAATACCGTATTTTGTTGATCCATATTTAGTGTTTGGATATACCGCATTTTGTTGATCCATATTTAGTGTTTGGATATACCGCATTTTGTTGATCCATATTTAGTGTTTGGATATACCGTATTTTGTTGATCCATATTTAGTGTTTGGATATACCGTATTTTGTTGATCCATATTTAGTGTTTGGCTATACCGCATTTTGTTGATCCATATTTAGTGTTTGGATATACCGTATTTTGTTGATCCATATTTAGTGTTTGGATATACCGTATTTTGTTGATCCATATTTAGTGTTTGGATAATACCGTATTTTGTTGATCCATATTTAGTGTTTGGATATACCGTATTTTGTTGATCCATATTTAGTGTTTGGATATACCGTATTTTGTTGATCCATATTTAGTGTTTGGATATACCGTATTTTGTTGATCCATATTTAGTGTTTGGCTATACCGCATTTTGTTGATCCATATTTAGTGTTTGGATATACCGTATTTTGTTGATCCACATTTTGTTGATCCACATTCATCTGCTGATGGACACTCGGGTTGTTTCCGACCTTTTCACTCTTGGGAATGATACTACTGTGAACACTGCTGTACAAATACCTGTTTTATTTCCTCCTTTCAGTTCTTTTGGGAATATACCTAGGAGTGGAATTGCTGAATCAGATAGTAATTCTATGTTTAGCTTTTTAAAGAACCGCCAAGCGTTTTTCGACAGCAGCTGTGCCACTTCACATTCCCACCAGCAATGCACGAGAGCTCCAATTTCTTCACATCCTTGCAGAACACTTGTTGTTTCTGTTTTTTTAATTTTTAATTTTTGGTTTTTTGTTGACGGTAGCCATTCTAGTGGGTATGAAGTGGTATCTCACGTGGTTTTGATTTGTATTTCTCTAATGACTAATGATGTTGAGCATCTCTTCATGTGCTTATTTGTTGTATATATTTTTTAAATGTAGTTTCTACTTTCTCACTTGATCGGCAAAGACATGTTGGCTATAACTATTAACTTGGCATCCACAGCTTTCCCCACTGATTTTTTTTTTTTTTTTTGAGACGGAGTTTCACTCTTGTTGCCCAGACTAGAGCGCAGTGGCACAATCTCGGCTCACTGCACCCTCCGCCTCCTGGGTTCAAGCAGTTCTCCTGCCTCAGCCTCCCGAGTAGCTGGGATTACAGGCTCCTGCTACCACGCTTGGCTACTTTTTGTATTTTTAGTAGAGGTGGGATTTCATCATGTTGGCCAGGCTGGTCTCGAACTCCTGAATCAGGTGATCCACTTGCCTTGGCCTCCGAAAGTACTGGGATTAGAGGCGTGAGTCACCGCGCCTGGCCCCCATTAATGGTTTTTAATAAATATGCTGATTTTCTCTCTCTCTTTCTCTCCTTAAGATGGCTCTGAGTAAATCAATGCATGCAAGAAATAGATACAAGGACAAACCTCCTGACTTTGCATATCTGGCATCCAAATATCCAGATTTTAAGCAGCATGTTCAGATAAATCTGAATGGAAGAGTGAGGTAGGTAACGGATGAAAACTTACCGTATTATTCTTGTGTGATTCAAATGGATACGACATAACAGAAAGCCCACCTGAATGTTAATCTGAGACATTCGATTAAACTTCCCATGCGACCTAGGACAAATCGCTTAACCTCTCTTGGTCTCAGCTTTTTAATGTATCACATTAGAGGAATTGACCAAATGCATTTCAGTTTCCTTCTGGAAAAATTCTCGTGCTGTCCGAATTATTGCTTACCCTACAGAAATCCCAGAGTGACTGCAGAGACTTAGGGTTGTGCTCTTCATGATCTAAAACATAGTGACTGGTAGGGATCTAGAGACTTTTTTTTTTTTTTTTTTTTTTTTGAGACGGAGTCTCGCTCTGTCGCCCAGGCTGGAGTGCAGTGGCCGGATCTCGGCTCACTGCAAGCTCCGCCTCCCGGGTTCACGCCATTCTCCTGCCTCAGCCTCCCGAGTAGCTGGGACTACAGGCGCCTGCCACCTCGCCCGGCTAAGTTTTTGTATTTTTAGTAGAGACGGGGTTTCACTGTGTTAGCCAGGATGGTCTCGATCTCCTGACCTCGTGATCCGCCCGTCTCGGCCTCCCAAAGTGCTGGGATTACAGGCTTGAGCCACCGCGCCCGGCCTTTTTTTTTTTTTTTTTGAGACAAAATCTCGCTCTGTTGCCCAGGCTGGAGTGCAGTGGCATGATCTCGGCTCACTGCAACCTCTGCCTCCCGGGTTCAAGCGATTCTCCTGCCTCAGCCTCTCGAGTATCTGGGACTACAGGCGCCCGCCACCACGCCCAGCTAATTTTTTGTATTTTAGTAGAGACAGGGTTTCACCATGTTGGCCAGGATGGTCTCGATCTCCTGACCTCGTGATTTGCCTGCCTCAGCCTCCCAAAGTGCTAGGATTATAGGCGTGAGCCACCACGCCCAGCCTTTTTTCTCTTTTTTTTCGAGAGGGTCCCTGTCGCCCAGGCTGGAGTGCAGTGGTAGGATTATAGCTCGTTGTAGTCTCAAATTCCTGGGCTCAAGCAATCCTCCTACCTCAGTCTCCTGAGTAACTAAAACAAAAACAAACACACATACGCACAAAAACAAAAAACAAAAACCACTGATCATAGATCACTACAACAAAGTTGGAAATATTGTGAGAATTACCGAAATGTGACATAGAGACATAAAGTGAGCATGTGTTATTGGAAAAATGGTGCCAACAGACTTGCTAGATGTAAGATTGCCACAAACATTTGATCTGCTAAAAATACAATGTATATCCCATATACCCCCTAAATATATATACTTACCATGTACCCATAAAAACTAGTAAATCTTGACTGGGCACAGTGGCTCATGCCTATAATCCCAGCACTTTGGGAGGCCAAGGTGGGTGGATCACTTGAGGCCAGGAGTACAAGACCAGCCTGGCCAACATGGTGAAACCCCATCTCTACTAAAAATACAAAAATTAACCTCCCAGCAACTCAGGAGGCTGAGGCACGAGAATCGCTTGAACCCAGGAGATAGAGGTTACAGTGAGCCAAGATTGCACCACTGCACTCCAGCCTGGGTGACAGAGTGAGATTCTGTCTCAAAAACAAAAAGAAAAGAAATTAAAAGTAATAAATCTTTTTTTTTTTTTTTTTTGAGACGGTGTCTCGCTCTGTCCTCCAGGCTGGAGTGCCGTGGTGCAATCTTGGCTCACTGCAAGCTCTGCCTTCTGGGTTCACGCCATTTTCCTGCCTCAGCCTCCCAAGTAGCTAGGACTACAGGCGCCCGCCACCACACCTGGCTAATTTTTTGTATTTTTAGTAGAGACGGGGTTTCACGGTGTTAGCCCAGGATGGTCTCGATCTCCTGACCTTGTGATCTGCCCACCTCGGCCTCCCAAAGTGCTGGGATTACAGGCGTGAGCCACCGTGCCCGGCCAAAAGTAATAAATCTTTAAAAAGTTTTTTAAAAAGACTCTTGTTACAGGGAAAAAGAAATGTGTCTGTGAGGGAATGGGAAGAAGATATGGCAGTCTTGAGGAGGACTTCCTTGTTTTTCTTTTAGAGATGAGAGCAGTGTGAGCCTATGTATAGTTGGCAACCTCAGACGTTTTGCAGGGACCTGTGGTAGTCGTAGGAGAGAGGAGATGCGCTCTTGGTGTAAATGACCTGGCGGCTCCCAGAAATCTTCCCCCTTCCTGCCTGCTTAAGTAGGAGTTGTTGATGGTTGTTTGCACTGGTAGAATGTTCTTCCTTTTTACAATCTTTTTTTTTTTTTTTTTTTTTTGAGACAGAGTCTCACACTGTCACCTAGACTGGAGTGCAGTGGCCCGATCTTGGCTCACTGCAACCTCCACCTCCCGAGTTCAAGTGATTCATGTGTCTCAGCCTCCTGAGTAGCTGGAATTACAGGCATGCGCCACCACAGCTGTCTAATTTTTGTATTTTTAGTAGAGATGGGGTTTTACCATGTTGGCCAGGCTGATGTCTAACTCCTGACCTCAAGTGATCCGCCCACTTTGGCCTCCCAAAGTGCTGGGATCACGAGCATGAGCCACCACGCCCAGCCTACAATGGCTTTGTATTTAATTTTGTGAGTTGTATTAAAGAAGAATCACCGGGCCGGGTGCGGTGGCTCTTGCCTGTAATCCCAGCACTTTGGGAGGCCGAGGCGGGCAGATCACGAGGTCAGGAGATCGAGACTATCCTGGCTAACACAGTGAAACCCCGTCTCTACTAATAATACAAAAAAATTAGCTGGGCGTGGTGGCAGGCACCTGTAGTCCCAGCTACTCAGGAGGCTGAGACAGGAGACTGGTGTGAACCCGGGAGGCGGATGTTGCAGCTGAGATCATATAAAAAAAAAAAAGAAGAATCACCAAAATTATAAACTCAACTAATATGGAAAAGAAATGTCAGACAAAACATTAGACCTTCGATGGGTTAGTGTCACTTATTTGCTTAACTCCTAAGTGCTCTCTTAAGGGAATCAGGGGTGTTTTGGAAAGGGGACATTTCTAAGATAGTCTTGTTAAGTATCAGTCTTGAGGGTGCCATTTCTAGCTGTGAAATTTTTTTTTTTTTTTTTTTTTTGTGACAGAGTCTTGCTCTGTCCCCCAGGCTGGAGTGCAGTGGCGTGATCTTGGCTCACTGCAACCTCCGCCTCCTGAGGTTCAAGCAATTCTCCTGCCTCAGCCTCCTGAGTAGCTGGGGTTACAGCTGCCCACCACCACACCTGGCTAATTTTTTTTATTTTTGTTTTTAGTAGAGACGGGGTTTCACCATGTTGGCCAGGCTGGTCTCGAACCCCTGACCTCTTGATCCACCCGCCTCGGCCTCCCAAAGTGCTGGGATTACAGGCGTGAGCCACTGTGCCCGGCCTTAGCTGTGAGATTTTATGTAATTTTCTTAGCTTTACTGAGACTGAGTCTCCTCACCTGAAAAGGAGAGATGAGAGGACATCCTCGGACGGTTGTCATGAAGGTTAGCAGTAATGCACGTAGAATGACTAGCATTCTGTAGACACTGGTTCATGGTAGGTGCTCGTATTGTTGTTAAGCCTGGTATAATTAAGGTGGCAAGATGGCTAGTGTGATACCTTGTTTTTCTTCCCTGCACGTGCCACTGCTTTGTTATAATCATATCTGACCATTACAATGAGATTTTAGTTTGTTTTTTCAGAATAATCAGTTCCATAGGAACAGCCTGCAATTTAGTTCAGCGCTGTCAGTTGAGCTTGAATAGAATGTGACACTTAACTGATTTGTTTTTATTTATTTATTATTTATTTATTTTTGAGATGGAGTCTCACTCTGTCGCCCAGGCTGGAGTGCAGTGGTGCGATCTTGGCTCACTGCAAGCTCCGCCTCCTGGGTTCACGCCATTCTTCTGCCTCAGCTTCCCGAGAAGCTGAGATTATAGGCGCCCGCCACCATGCCGGCTAATTTTTTGTATTTTTAGTAGAGACGGGGTTTCACCATGTTAGCCAGGATGGTCTTGATCTCCTGACCTCATGATCCCCCCGCCTCGGCCTCCCAAAGTTTTGGGATTACAGGCGTGAGCCACTGCGCCCGGCCCTATTTGTTTTTGTTTTTATTTTTATTTATTTGTTTATTTTAACTGATTTGTTTTTAAACCAAAGACCCAGCATTGAAGGGCTTTATCATGCTGGGTAGACTGTACCGTTTTTAGCACCTCAGTGACCATCTAAAGACTAGAAACCAACTTTGGAGTAACACTGGGAGGCTTTTGGCTTTTGTTGTTGTTATATCAGGTTCAGCTTCTATAGGATTAGAATGATTGTTATTTTAGCCATGGATTACAGAAATGTGTCTGTTCAAAATCCGTCTATAATGGTGATACTGTATTCATCAGTGGCAGAGCGGGAGTCATTCGGGGGAAATCGGCCATGAGCCTGTTGACAATGGGCTATTTTGGGGAGCTGGATGTGTTAAACAAACAACAAAGACTGAAAATGAATAAACTGCTGATTTTCACGTGAGAGCTAATTTTAGTTCCTGGGCCTCCCTGTAATCTCGGAAATGAGAATGAAAAAAGATCTTGCCTGTGTTCAGGATTTTTGAATGTCCCAGGGTGCTAACAAGACCTAGATACTTAACTAGTGAAGTCGAGTGACTTGACTTTGCCCTACAAAAGTATTTCTAACACTCAGACTAGTGTCTGGATCTTTTCAGAAACAAAAAATAAACAACAAAGTCTAAGAATCAGGTCTTCATTGGTGTTCACTTTATTTCCTCCCATTAAACCAGCCTCAGCTTAATGTCTTGTACTTTTTTAGGATATGGTTCCTTGTGATTAGATTGTGTGCTGTAGTTCATCATTTTGTAAGTTGAATATATATAAATATATTTATGAATATATATATATATTTGAATAACAAGAATTGTTTATGTAAGCAACAGCTTTCTTCGAAGGCCCTTGGAAAACATTAATTATATTGTTCCCTTGCCCAAAATGTCTCTTGAAGCTGTATGATGAGTGCTACAGCTGCAGCACTATCTT